GATTTTTTAATAAAAAAATTTGATTTTTTCATCACGTTTAAATAACTCTTGAATTTAGATTTTTTAACTTCTGTGAAACTCTTTTTAAAAATATTGTCCCTTTAAACCTAATTATGTCGTTTCCTGTTTGAGATATCAAAAAATTGTCAACTAATGAAATTTTTCTGACATCAAGGCAAAGATTTTTGCTGTTAACACTTTTTCGATTTCTTCTACAGGAACCGAGAAAAAATTGATCAAAGTTGACTAGATCCCAAACTCTAACTCTTCAAGTTTGAGCCGATCTCTCTCGATTCCTGTAAAAGGTATCAAAAAGTGGTAAACTGACAATATGCTTATCATAATATCACCAGTGATCATTCTATTAGAGTGTTTACGGTATGACAAAACTCTAAAGTTTCGAAATCAATACAGAAATTATAAATTTTGACAATTTCGCGATTTTTTATCACTTTCAAAAAAAGACAATAATCGCTCCTTCTTAGTATGATTAATATTTTATCAATAGACTACTTCTCGATAAGTCTTACAGAAAAAGAGAAAAAATGACTCAAAGTTTACTGTACTACCGTAAATGGTTTAATAGAAGCCCGTGTACTTTGAGCTTAATTATCTAAATTCCTATGCAATATATCAAAAATTTGTCAACTGATAAAATATCTAGCATACTATCATCAATATTTTATCATTTGTTATGTTTTTGATATCTCTCATAGGAACCGAGATAATTTAGCTCAAAGTGCCGATATAGGGTGGGTTTCTACCTTGCTGTGTGCTGTAGGCTGCTCTTCATTTTTGAGCTTGGAATTTTCTCATTTTTCATTTTCTCTCTTTTTATAAATCCAGTTTCTTCTGACTCACAAAAATCCCTACACTTGTGATTCACACAAAAAGAAAAAGCTATTCATCCAAACCATATGGTTCCCAATCTTTTCTAACTTTTTTTTGCTAAACTCAACAAGAGTATATTTTTGGATTTTCAATCATTTTAATGTAGAAAAATTAGACCATTGATACTGTTTTAAGGAGAAATGGGAAAAAACGAAAAAAATATACTGTAAAAGTTGGACTGAAAATGAGAAAGAGAGGAGAATGGGATGGGATGGAGAGAGAGAGAGAGAATTAGAGATAAAGAAGGGATAGTTGAGGACACTGATATGGAACTGGAAATCAATTTCTGAACAATTCTAGATACAATATGAGCAGATTTAATGGGCGGGAAAAAAAATTGGTCCTCAAAAAACCCAAGGTGGAAATGAACATTTTTGTGTGAACCCTGTGGTTACAAAGAGAATATTGGGAGAGAATCAGTTGTGAAAAAAAAGGATTATTTGAAAAAAAATAGTCATGGTAAAATTTAAAAAAAAATTAGAAAATGAATTACAGCAAACTGATGATTCAGAGAGGGAAGAGAATGAAGTGGAGAGAGAACTGGAGGAAAGACCATTTGTTTCACTTGGGATGTTTTTTTTTTCAAAAAGGAACATAATTTGTGCATGTAGAGAAAAATCGAGATGAAGATCTTTGAATGTGAGCTCTGGATTTTATTCATGTGGAGCCGAGAGATCAATCCATTGTTGGGAGATGGCGTCGACAGCGGGCGCAACCGGGAATCCCATCATTGGATTCATAAATTGCATGGCTCTGAAATAGAGAACAGGTGAGAAATGGTTTTGTTTGGAGTTTAAAATTTGTAAATTTTTTGAAGATCCATGGAGTTTCAGGAGTTCAATGAAGATCGAAGATTTACCGAGAAACAATAGATGGTCCCAGAATTTTAAAGCCTTAATTTTTGAGCTAATTTTTCTCGGTTCCTGTGAAAGATATTCAAAAGTGGTCAACTAACAAAATGTTTATCATAATAACACAAACATTTTGTTAGTTAGCTACTTTTTGATACCTTTGACAAGAACCGAGATAAACTTTATCAAAGTCAGGACCCCTTTTTAAAAAGTTTTTTGGTAAATCACACTGTCAAGTTTGAGCCTAGTTATCTTGGTTCCATTGAGAGATTTCAAAAAGTTGCCAACTAACAAAATATTTATCACAAAATCACAAACATTTTATCAGTTAACGATGTTTTGATAACTCTTACAGGAGCAGAGATAATTTGTTAAAAGTCTGGTCCCCTCTATTATAGGTTGAACGGTATACCCCACTGTCAGCTTTGAGCTCAATTATCTCGGTTCCATTAAGAGATATCAAAAATGTGTCAACTGATAAAATGTTTATCATATTATCAAAAAAATTTGATTAATTGACAACTTTTTGATATCTTTGACAGGAAGCGAGATAAAGAGGCTCAAAGTCAGGTGGTCTCTCTAATACAAGTTTCACGGTACTGTACTTGCTCTAATAGAAGCTCACGATATACGTTCACTTCAAGCTCAATTATCTTGGTTCCTATGAGAGATATCAAGATTTAGCCAACCAATAAAATATTGCTGATATTATGATAAACAATTTATCACTTAACAATTTTTTCATATCCTTGACAGGAATCGAGATAATTGAGCTCAAAGTTAGAAGTTAGAAGACTTGAGCCTTTTTCGGACACACTTTTTGGTTTCGAACGTTTCCCCCATAATTGTCAAATTTCAAATTCAAAAACTTACGGATTCGGGAATGGCTGAAATCCTCCATAATTCATCGTCCTCTGCATATACAATTCGGCTCCTGGATAGTGCATCGCCGTCGCCGCGGCCAACGACGTCGGATCTGGCGAATAGTTGGCACCACTGTCGGATTCCGAATCTGGACTTGGTCCCGGAGACTGCTCGCTTCGATTCCTGCGTCGATTCTTGCACACGTTCATATGCGGCGTACGTCCGGCACGATTGTTCTGATCGATCATCGGTTGGACGATTCGCCGACGAGCGTTGATGAACCTGGAATAGTTTTGATTATCAATAGAGCAACGTTTCTCTCCCCAAAATCATTTCAAGTTTCAACCCTCTCTCATCGGACCTAAACAACCACTAAAAGTGTCAAATCGTGACAATTTATGTGCGTCACAATTGCGAACCAATGGAATGAAATGGAGGCGAGATAAGAATCAGAAGAGAGTCGTTGGTTGGGGGTGAATGAAATAGCAACACACACACACACAGCCAACCTTCCAACTTCTTGCAGCATCGGATAGTGGGAGAGTGGAGATCATAAAAATCCCATAAATCGCGTTTAACCACAACTTGAGGAGATAGGCAGTGAATGAGGAGATGTGTTTTTAAGTGACCAATGTCACACTCGTAATATAAACTACGACGCAAGGAGGAAGAATGCACATAAAACCCAGTTTTTATGGGGTTTATAGGTTTCGTAAGATGATTATCTTTAGTGTTAGGAACCGAAAAATTAACTTAATTATCTCGGTTCCTATCAGAGATATTGAAAACTTATCAACTAATGAAATGTTTATCATAATATCACCAATGTTTTATCAGTTGACAAATTTTTGATATATTTGAAAAGAACCGAAATAAATTGGCTCAAAGTGCACATAAAGGGTGGGCTTCTATTCGAGCAGTAGGCTTACCGTATTTACTCTAATAGGAGCCCACCCAAGACTCAAAGTTTGAGCTTAGTTATCTTGATTAGTGTGCAAGATAACAGTATTTTGTCAACTAATAAAATATTGGTGATAAATGATAAGTAATTAATCAGTTGACAGATTTTTGGTATCTCTTATAGGAACCGAGATAAATTGGCTCAAAAGTCACGTATAAGGTGAGTTTCTATTAGAGCAGATACGGTAGGCTTATTTCATTAGAAATCTGAGAAAATTTACAAAAATTAACATGAAAGACATTTACCAGGGGACTCCCTTCAAATACAGGTTTTAGCTTCAATCGTTAGGATTCAAAATTAGCGAGCTGAATCATGGAAGACGCTTCTAGACTGCCTAATTTTTCCCATGACGAAATTCCAGCTTCTCAGGATTGTCAGAAACTTCACAGCCTTTCCAGAATCTTCTCAGCTTTACCAGATCCTTTCCGAAAGCTCATTCAGCTTTTCCAGAACATTGTCTGCCTTTTCAGAAACTTCTTAGCTATTCCAGAAGTTTCTCCGCCTTTTCAGACTTCTAGTAACCCTCTTCGTCGCCCTAGACCCATTTCTCTTCCAGCCCATCCATCTCCATCCCATCAACATCTATCAGCCTATCACCACCTCTTCATTTTCGCACCATCAATCTTGGTAGTGTCCTCCTCTCACCATTGATAAATGTCACAATCTGTGTTGTCATTTCAAGCATTTCATCTATAAATCTTTATCGTTCCCCTATCATCTTCTTTTTTCTTGGTTGTCCCGAAAAAAGCAATCAGTCTTAAGCTAATAAATTGACACTTTTTGGTTTGAAGGGAGGGGTGTCAATTGATAAATCGACCCCTCATAACAAGAAAGGCTTGTTCATCTTCTCTTTTTTCATCTTCTTCTTTTCCAGAGACCCCTCGTTTCTCTCTCTATTTTCTGCCCCTTTCCCAGTCTCTTCTTCTTCTTCGTTTCTTCTTCTCCTTCGGCTTGTCAACGTCGCCAGCTGCGTCGATCCATCATTGCCAAGGCTGTCCTGCCAGTCGTGCCCCCCGTCTCTTTTCCTCCGTTAGTCTTACATTGACTCCCGCTTCCCTCGGATCCTTCTTTCTATTTCTCCCCCAGCCATCCTCTGTTCGAAATTCTGCCGCCTTGGAGAAGAAGAGAGGGATACGGTAATCGACAGGGGACGAAGCAGCGCGAGATGAACAAGAAGAAGAAGAAGAGGATGAGAAAACACACTCCAACTGTTGCCAGTTTTTCGAAATTTCAAAAAGAAATTTCAAAAAGAAATTTTTTTTGAAATCTTTTTTTTTTGTTTCGAACGCAACACATCTTTGGGAATCAGACTGGTTCAACCAGCCCAACAGCCCCAGGAGCTCAAGATGCTCCAGAATTTTCCAGTCATGCCCACCTTGCTCAAACTTTAATTGAATCTAGTCTCCTACTACTGAATGATGTCCCTTCAAAAATTTCACAACAACAATCATTTGTTATGCATTAGAGGACCTCCTCACTTTACCAACCGAGTTCCCCATCCATCTTCCAACTCCTTTGGGGGGCATTTCTTTCTCTTCTTATCAACATCTACTATCATCAGAGAGTGTCTAATCCCTGGGAGGAGCTGTTGTTGTTGTTTTCGAATGCCTTCTAAGTCTATCGTCCCCAAAAAAAGCCAAAAAAGGAGGAGCAGAAAATGCATACATAGGTGGACACAATGGTTTCGTGGGATGTATGAGGGGCTGGGTGGTCGTTCGTCAGTTTGACACGAAATGTCAGTCAAAATGTCCACTCAATGAGCGTCGTCGTCGTCGTTGTTCCGTAGAATCATTGAGAAGGAGAAATGGAATAGGATAATGAGGGCTGAATCTGTATCCGGATAGGTATATGATGATGGGATGGGAGGAGGAGGAAGGAAGGAAGGAAATACAGTTAGAATGGGATCCGAGTAGATGTCAGAAAACCCAGAGAAACGTTTGGGTAGAATCAAAAAATTTTGGTCTCATGGTAGTTTGAGGCTTCGAACATCAGAGATTCCCTTTTCTACACCCCCAGCCTATACACGCGCTTTGATCTCAATTATCTCGGTTCCTATGAAAGATATCAAAAATAGATCAACAAAAGAAATACTGATGATTTTATGATAAACATTTTATCAATCGGCAATTTGTTAATATCTTTCACAGGAACCGAGATAATTAAGCTCAACGTGAAAATTAACCTATCGTAAACGCTCTAACAGGAGCCAAGCCTAAACTTGCTTTTAAGCTCAATTATCTCGACTCTACCAAGAAATTTTCTACTAATGAATTGTTTATCAGAATACCACCAACAGTTTATCAGTGGGCAAGTTTTTGATATCTCTCATAGGAAACGAGATAATTGAGCTCAAGGTGCACGAATAGGGGTGTGTTGCTATTATAGCATTTAAGGTACATTCAGTCGGATTTATGGTAGTTCAAGCCTTTGAACATCATAGATCTGATTCTATACACCCCCAGCATTGCTAAAAATGTAAACCTCACCATTCAGTTTCTCTTCAAACACCTCAAATTGGCTCCCAAACAAAGACAGTTATCTCACAAATTCAGTAAAATTGCAACACACACACACCATTCCCCAGACCCCTACAATTTCCTAGTCACCTCCTCCTACTACACCTAGTTAATTATCGGTTAGCTCTTCTTCTGTAGATTCTGGATAGCGATTGTTGTATGTGTATCTGGTGCCATGCGCATCCCATTAACCGATCACTCAGTCGGTCGGTGTGTGCAATGGAGTGTGTCATAATTGGTGATGGATATGGGGGTGGTGGTTACTATTATCTCCATGAAATCCGCTTCTTTTTTCACACCTCGTAAATCAAACAGGTGGTGTGAAGTCAAGGAAATAGTACTGTAGATTTTTAGATATAAGCCTTTCTGGTTACTGTAGATGCTTCAATTCAAGCCCACCCCCTATGAAAACCCACTCTTTAGCCTCACCCTACGTGAGCTTAATTATCTCGGTTCCTGTGAGAAATATCAAAAATCTGTCAACTGATAAAATAATGCTGATATTATGATAAACAATTTATTAGTTGATTAATTTTTTATATCTTTCAAAAAAACCGAGATAATTAAGTTCAAAGTTAAAGTATAGGTTGGGCTTCTGTGGCTTACCGGGGGCCTCAAAAAATTAGTCCTTTCCTATAGTCAAAGTTGATATCTCAACCCCCTCATCAATGACCCGAATGACGCAACTGTAGGTCAAATAGTGTCCCGTGTTTATCCTTATCCGAAAATCGCGCGCATGTGCGGCACAATTCTGAAGGTACCGACAAGAGAGACAGTAACCTGATATGCTCCAGATTACATAAACTTTTTTTGATGCTCCTTGACTACCTCCCAAAAAGTGCACTTACCAGTTATTGACCTGAAGAATTGTAAGACCCGTCTCTTTTGCCAACTGTTTCTTTTGCTCCTCTGATGGGTAGGGATGCTGAAAAAAAAACACATATATTTTGGTCCCTGTTCTCAAGTTACAATGATAATGCTCATCATCTGTTTGGACACCACCGTCCAGTGGGGTGACCTCTGAACCGTCATTGTTGTAAAATTATGTTACACTTCCCCCTATACCAAGGGTCCCTACCACCAAGTGTACACGTTCGGAGGGTCGACCTCCCAACAAGTTTTGTAAATCTAGATTACTGTAGGTATGAGGAGGAGGAGGAGGAGGACAAAAAAATGAGGAGATGGAGAAAAAAAAGGTGTGAGAAATTGACGATGAAAAAAACACATAGATGTAGATGAAAATTTGTAGATAACGGTGTCCCCGAGACGACTTCTTCAGCATTTTTTGAATTATTTTTTTTGTTGCCTGTCTTAAATCTTACCGCCAGATTTTGAAATAGCCACGCGCGGAATTTGGTAATCGCCTCTTTTGAGAATACTTTGGGCACTTTTCGCTTCCCGTTCTGACTTCCGTTCGCCGAGTCGGATAGCACCGAGTCTCGACCGTCTTCGTTCGATCCGCACACCGAGAACTCGTCGCCTGGAATACAAGTAGGTGTCAGTTGAGAGCTCCCTAGAGCTCCCTAGAGTCCCGAGGGACACCTCTTGTATTCGGAACCATTGTGTTGATGCTTGATAGGGGGTGGATGAATGAGAGATAAGAAATTGAGAAAAAAGAGAGAGAGAATCAGAGAATCAGAGAACGAGAAAGACTTTTCAGGACAGTATCCACAAAACTTATAAGAACTCAAAAAAGTGCAACCAACATAAAATCAAAATTAAAATTTTGAATTTCGCGCCAGCCAGTCCTTACCGTAAGATTCTGGAAGAGCCACTGTCTCAGTCGATTCGTCGCAGTCTTCGGAAAAATCCCACGTCCTCGACTCTTTCCAACTCGTCCATTCGGCGTTCCCGGCTGCTGCTTCTTCCCACCACTTTTCGACGAAGACACCGACGCCGCGTCTTCCATTTTAACGTCGGATGAGCTCATCATGACGACGTCAGGCGTCCCATAGTCACCATAGTCGGTGTAGGTCATATCTTGATGATGATAAACGTCATGATGAGAGTACATATGGGACATCATGTCGCCATGATATTCAGAAGCCGACGACGACGATGACGGTGGGATAAGAGAAGCGTCAAGCATCGAGACACCGGCACAGTGCAGACTTTGCTCAATGATGTTTTGCGGCGGGGGTGGCAGTAGGAAGTCTTGATGATGGGCTGGTGGTTGAAGCTGATGATGTGGGAAATGATGAGGATGATGGAGGTGGTGTTGATGAAGCGACGAAGAAGACGGACCTGCGGAGACAATAACACACATATAAAAGCGCCGGCGGATTCTTTCTAAAAGTGTCAGTTGCAGGCGAATGCACATACAAGTGTTATTCAGAAGATGATGAGATTGGGGATGGATATAATAATTAGAATTACATAAACGAGTATACCATGCACAGGGAAAAAAGCTAGAGCGGTTAAAAAATAGGATGGCAATTCTATGAAGGAATGATGAAAGGAATTTGAAAATGAGTTGGAGAGAGAGAGAGGGAGCAAGAGGAAGGAAGGGACTTCCGGGGGATAGCATCACAATAGGTCCGAATACAAGAGGTTCAGGTTAGCCGGGTTCCAATAGGAAAACGTTTTTGCGGGTTAATCTGAAGGAACTACCGTAACCCGTTGACAAAATACTCACCAGCTTCTGAAATCGAATCCATCGAGTTTCCGTTAGCCATTGGCGTCTCGCCGGACAGCGGCGTCGAGTCCTGTCTTAGACCACCTGATGAACACGTCGATGGACTACTGACGGCTATGGGCAATAGCGTCTGGGAGGCTCCAGCCGTCGAGTGGAGCGTCCCGCCGTTCGCTAAAGGGTGATCCCCTGGTTGTGGTTGTGACGAAGAGGAGCTGGCGGCCGCGGCGGCCATTCCAGCCATCGCGTACGCCATTGAGGATCCCGGGAACATCTGAAACTATAGATTTTTCGTTTTTTTTTGAAATCCCTGATTCCCCTAGAATCTTCGTTCCAACATCCCTATTAGCGGCATTCATAAAAAAAACCAATCGCCCCCAACAAAAAAAAACCAAATTATGCAAATTCCAATGCGCGCATCTTTGGAGAACGTCTTCGTTTTCGTCCTCATCGTCTTCTATTTTACCGCTAAGACCCCCATTGAGTCAAGTACTTTCTTATTGTTCGGAGGCCGCCACCGCCTCTATTCAAGGGTTTGAACACTAATGCTAACTGTTCTACCACTACTATCACCACCCGCTGTGCCAACACCAACAGCTACACTCCCATATTTACCGCGCGCTAATCATTTTGACTTTTTGACAACACGGCTTGCTCCCTTGTGTTTGTGGTCAAATGTGTGAGTATATATCTCTGGGATGAGAGAGGAGACACTGAATCCAATTATTGACACCCTCCCCCCTCTAGATAGACAATTTGCGCACTTTACTAGATTGACTTCATCGCTATTATCCATATTTATACCCCCATGAAGTCGAATCAAAATAATATATGAGAAAATGAAAGGAACAAACTAATGGGATAAAAATTAGATACTGATGAGAGTGTCAGCTGTTGCTGCTCCCCAACTACTGAATCTATCTATTTCTCACCTCCAACGGATGTCCTCCACCCAACACGTTCTCGGGTAACGGCACGGATTGTGGCTCGTACGGTGGTGGGTAGTGCATCGGCGTCGCGGCTCCAGCGCCACCCATCGATGGTGATCCAGAGTGTCCGTGGTGTCCCATGCTTCCAGGTGACATTGGTGGTTGAGACGACGAGGCACGCTCGTCCCCAACAATGTCCAACGGCATCTTGCCCTTCAGACACGTCACGTATCGATTGCAGAAGTTGTCACAGAGCTCGTGGACCTGGAAAAATTGGATTTCTTTTCAGAGTGAGGGGTATACTTGTAAACCGGGAATCCACTAAAATACATATGATAGATCTTGAAGAGAACTACATTATATATCTTGAAAAACTGTATCTTGTCTATGAACAAAGTTACAGACAAAACAAACTCGGCGCGGCGCAGGTGGGCTTGGCCACCTTTTGGCTTGTAACTCTATTCATAGACAAGATACAGTAATGCAAATTGTATCATTTTGTAGTACTCGTCAAGTGTTATCATAACCAATTCAGTTAATTCAAAAATATTGATTTCGAAAGAAACTATGGCTGGGCCAGCGAAGGTCCGGCAAAGGCCTGGTATCATGAGAGGGAAATTTCAGAGCTTGGAAAATCTAGGCCACCCACAAAATTTAGGATCTGGTTTTTGAAAATCATAAGTATCAACTAGTCCTGTTATTTTTTCCTAGAAAACGATGCGAAAACAAAAACACCTCCTCGAAAGTGTGACCATAGTCATAAAAGTACAAAAAAAAAATGCCTCCAACAAGTCTGGTTCCTCTAAAAGTGCAAACCGACCAAACCACCTAGGTTAGACCTAAAATGTTGTCTAATTTTCAGCAAAAAATCAGAAATTACAAGTGTGTACTTCTCGGAGAAGTACATGCTCGCTCGGCTCCTCAAACTGATACGGTGCCAGTCGCCGGCGCCTCTCTCAAAAAGTACACCAGAACAGGCATGGTTGATAAACTGATAACTGTTCGACTCCAAAAAAAATTAGAAGACCCTCTCTAGGACGAGACGCAGAGACTAAATGCACTTTTTGTTGAAATGAGGCTCTTTGTCTCATTCTTCACACTCCCCACTAACCTTTTCCAGCTCCAGCAGATGAAAACGGAGCATTTGAATCGATTGGAGCATAATTTGATCTAGCTGCGGATTCGGCTGATAATATTGCTTGTCAGCGTTTTCCTGGGTCTGAAAATTTATATGAATTTTCATTATTTCAATTTTGTTGTTGGTGATCTTCGAGGTATGTTATATTTTTTGTTGACAAAACACTTACATGTTTCACAAATTCATTGAGATCATCTTTGAAAGAAGCGCTTGAGCAAACGTCGGATGACGTCGTTCCGTCTCGTGACGTCTCGCGTGGCGTCGACGTCGCCAGTTCGCATTTCTCGAATAGAACGACTAAAAGTGGGTAGAGTGGGTGACTGAAAATTTTTAAGACTTGTAGAAGAGGCAGTTGAGCCATCAAATTGAATAAAAAAAAAGAATACTCACGCATAAATCGCCTCCTTGTCCCGTTTCATCGCCTCGCCCATCTCGTGGTGCATCATCGGAGTGGTCGTCGGCGCGGCGCCCATATTTGTGTACAGGTTGAAGTAGGCAGTCGGATCGGCCGCGTAGCTGACTGCGTCGGTGCTCGCAGTGCCCGGTGGCGGTCCATAGCCATCGTTGAACTGCTGGAAATAGGGTTAAGATAAGATAGGATAGTTGTTGGGGAGGAGTTTAGGAGGATTCTCTTAACTTATCTAGTTTCTAGATTAAGATTGGAAATTCTTTAGATAAACCTACTCGACTTAGAACATAAATCTTCCACACTACTAAAAGATCCGAACGGTGGATACCGTTCGGAACATTTTCTACAAAAATCTAAAGATTCCAAATCCGAACATTTTTTCTTCCTACTTCTATTTCTCCATTCCCTATTCCTTCTCTAACACTGATCATCATGAGGAGACTCTCTGATTGATTGATTAATGATTGGGATCGTAGGGGTTGACAAGGTAAGTGATGGCCATAAAAACGTGTCAAAAAATAGAATCCTAGAGGGTCCTAGAGCCGTTATAATCATTTTAATGGGTTTTATGAAGTGGCGTAGTGGGTAGAAAATTTTCGTCGTCTTATCACTCCTACAGAGAAGGATGATACTGTCGTTTAGATCGTAAAAAGAGTCTTTGGTTTTTTTTGTTTCTAGTTGCAAAAGAAGGTTTTCGTTTTCCTGCTAGAAAAAGAAAAAGGGATTTTATTATATTTTCCGTCTAGTCTAGAGTATCTAACCTAGATCTTAATTGGGCCCTATACTATTTAGTACCCTAACGACTGTTTGAATGAATTCTTCAGTTACGATAAAACCTCTATTATAAAGGCCCCTCCAATAGAAGGTAGATTTCAAGGGAACGGCTCAAGGACGGCTCTCAGGCGTTTTGGCTCCCAAGCCAGAAAACTGGGGCTGGTGTCAGCCAAGTGGAAAAGAAAAAACCAAGAATGAGCTCCCAAAATCTCTAGCACTTGAAAAACCAAACACGACGATAAATTATAGAGGAGAGCGCGAAACGAAACGGATGTAGTGCTAGGGAGCATCACTGTCAATGTCAGAAAGTAGGGGAAAAAATGAGCGACAAAAAATGAAGGAGTAGTACCCTCTGCGCCATGGTCGTCGTTGCCGACACACGGGCTGAATAAGATGAACGATGGACGTCGTCGTCGTCGTCGTCGGGATCGGCCAAAACTCTCCTCGACTTCTACTTTGGTGTCAGTCCTCACTGGTCAGGAGCTTGTCTCGCCCGCCCCCCGTATGTCTTGTTGATCGATTGATTAGTGTGTTTGATGTGTGTGTGTGTGTGTGTCGGGTTGGTGTGTCTCGAATTGATGATGATGGGGCTGATGGTTGTCGTGGTGGTGGTGTTCCTTCGTCGTCGTCGTCGTGATCCCCCTGTGTCGATTTGGAGAATTAGAGTGAGAGATATATTTTCTGAAGAACACGGAGCGAGAGAGATAGAGAGAGGGATGGAACAACGTAAATAATATGACAGACAGATGAATATCGAAAATGACAACTTCTCACACACTTCAAAACGGTTGTATGTCAATCTTGTCCGATCGGTGGTGGTGGTGGTGGGGGGGTGAAAAGGGGGCGGAGCTATTGCTGGGGCCCCCAAAGTGAAGATGAAGAAGAAGGGCTACCCAGAGGGGTAGATCGGACACGGCGCACGCGCTCTCCTTCCCCCCTCGGGGAGGCCTGCCTCGTCTCCGCCCCCTTGCGCCCAATCGTCAGAGGTACCGTAGGACACGATGGCAGCGAAAATGAAAGTGGTTGAAAAAAAATAAAAGAGAAGAACGAAAAGGAAGATGTCGACCCCGACGACGACGACGAAGACTACGAAAAAAAAACATGCATTTTGCCTTTTTTGCCTCTCTCTCCTGCTGCTTTTTTTGTTTTAGCAGCAGCAAAAAGCTAGCCGACCGAGGGAGTAAGCTAACTCGACTTTTCGGTTCTTTGAGTAGCTCTCGATCCTTAGGCATATCCTTGTAACCCATCCATCCTTGTTCATCCTTCAAAATCTGACACCGCCAGTTGATAAGAGAGAAGAAACACATGATTAATGTGATTAGGGGGTTGATAAATCGGATGCCGAGTGAAAACGATGGAGGCCAAAAAGAAGAAGAAGAAGAAGAAGATAGGATGGACCCCGATTTGTGTGAAAATCATCACAAAATGTTGAGAGAGAGAGAAACGATTTGGGTATGATATGAGGAATCTCGCATATCATATCAACAACACCAGCATGATGAAGAAGAAGAATGGGATTTTAATGGCGGGGGTAGGAGAAGAACAAAAACTAGTTGCTTGATTAATGCTATCTAATCCGTTTTATCTACAAAAACATTCTTGATTTTGAGGTTTCCAGCTAGCTCACTGATTTCAGAGCTCTCCAATCCGTTGGAGCCTATTCTATAGATGCACGTTGAGCTCAATTATCTCGGTTCCTATAAGAGATATCAAAAATCTGTCCACTGATAAAATATTGCTGAAATTATAGTGAATAATTTATTAGTTGAATAAATTTTGGCATCTCTCATAGGAACCGAGATAATTAAGCTCAACGTACAAGCATAGGGTGGACTTCCAGTAGAGAAAATATGGTAGGTTCTCCTACGCTTGGATCTCAGGTTGAACCTTTTTTTGGAATTTTTAAATTCAAAATTCAAAAAAATGAAACAAAATCCCTTTTCTAGATTTTATAATAACCCATTTTTAATAAAATTCACCTTTAAAAAAATGACTGGAATTTTTAGATGTGATATTCTTGTTCGTCTATTTTCAAATACTGTTTTTCGGCAAAAAGGTTCAATTTCGCAATTTTTAAAACTATATTTTTAATAAAACTAGCTTATTCAAAAATTGCTCATTCTAACTATTTTTAATTCTCTAATTTTTTACAGACTTTGGCGGGAGGGTCTAGCTACCATAAATGCTCTAGAAGCCCAAACTATACCCTTATTTTGAGCTCAATGATCTCGGTTCTTATAGAAGATATCAAAAATCTGTCACATGATAAAACATTTGTGATATTACGATAAATAATTTATCAGTTGAAATTTTTTGATATCTCTTAAAGAGCCGAGATAATTGAGCTCGAAGGGAAGGTACATGGTGGGCTTCTATTGGAGCATTTACGGTAAACAAGACTTTTTAATTGTAAAATTTTTGCTGGTCTATTTTGAAACAGTCGAAAATCCGATTTGGAAAACTCAGAAGCCCTTTTTTCGTAAATTTTCAAAAAAAAAAAAAAAAACTACTGCTAATCTAACTATTTCAAACTAGACCAACTTGCTCTAAACCACCCGAACCAAAAAAAACACCCACCTCATGACAATCAATCTTCTCGCGTTTAATACTCGACGTATCCAAATCGTACGTCGAAATTCCACCCTGCTGCTGATGTTGCTGTTGTTGAGCCGTCGTCCATGTGTCCGCTGAAGCGTGTGCCCAAACTTTCGAATCGGCGCTCATGGCTGGCTGCTGAAAAATAGATATACCCTTCTTGTATCGTATAAATCATTTTGATTGAAGATGGAGGGGACGGCTACTGTCAAGAAAAAAAAAGAGATAGAGAAAAGAAACATATGTTCGAAAGAATTTTTTTTCAAAGAGAGACAGAGAGAATTAGAGAACGAAAGAAGACGATGGTCTCGATGTGGTGGTGGTCCGAATCCTGATGAAGGTTCAAGAAAAAGGATGGATGGACCCGCGAAAAAAGAGGGGATTTCAAAAAATAATAAATGGGCTCCACGGGGTTGATCGACTTGAGGGCGCCAAAAAATTCAAGTTCTTACGATAGGACATGACAGTGTGTCCTCCGCGCCTGGAAGATAAATTGCTTTTGTTCGTTTCGCCAAATGCACAAATCAAAGCTGGGTGTGTGTGTTGTCCTCATTATTCGGGTTTCGTGAGGATTCAAATTTTTGGTAGTTTTGGTTAAATTTGAGAGAGAGGGGGGGGGGGCACCTTTCGAAACTAGTTTCCCAACTTTTCTCAAATTTGATAAGGGCATTGTTAGGACAGTCAATCGATACAGTCATTTTTTGACACATTCCCCCTTATCACTAAAAATGCTCTCCGAAATGGCACTATGACACAAAGATCCCTTACTTAATATACTCCAGCTGTACCATATTAAAATTTCCTTTGTTCTAAAGGGATTAAGATTAGAATCGTCATGGGAGGGGGAAGGAGGTGTCAAGTGGGTTAGCTGGGGGAATAGAAGAATAAGGAACTTGTATAAAAGTCAGAATTAGTAAGCGTAGGCGGATCAGGCAGTAGTGCTCTGGCTCCTGGGAAAGTTGTAAATTACCATAAACTTAAAAGTTTACAGTTCATATTTTATGGCCATGTACAATGTGAAGAGGGCTCAGTAGAGATTGATTACTGTAGATAATACAGACAAGGTATGATTTTTGAATTAACATGTCTAAAGTCTCGAATCCAATGTTCCAGAGAACCATCCCTTCCAGATCTTTGCTTCACAGTCCCCGCCAAGATTGTCACAGAAAAGAGCATTCGAAAAGAAAAAAAAAATTCTGACGCACACTGATAAGAGATTACGGTGATTGTTGCGACTCGGGCTGTGCGCTGCTACGTGCTTCGAACATTTTTCCCCCTTCGAAAAAAAAGTTATCAGTGGTTTTTTTTTCTTCGGTGCTCCTCCTTTTGCCGCTCTCGCTCCCCTTTGTTCCTCATACCGTACTTTGTTCCTCATATGCACCGGGAGAATGGCGAGATACCTCTTGTATAAATACCAAGTACAGTAACCCATGACGTGTGTGTGTGACCATCGTCATGATCGCCAGCCGGCCGGTCTGGTCTCTAGGACTCGAAATTTGAAAAACGCGCCTCGCGCGCCTCTCTCCTTTAGAATCGATACGTTTCGGAAAACGAGGGAAAAAAGGCCAAAACGAGGGAAGGGGACTGCTGCACCGGGGGACAAGTCATACAAATGATTGATGAGGTCTATGGAAAGATGAAGAAATCGTGGATGGATGAAAAAAGCAAAGGTATTGAATTCATTTTCTTCCTATATATTTCTGTGACTCACACAGGCCAGCAGGTGCACGCCCCCATTTTGGTTCATTCGTTTTACCTCAAGTTGTAAAACTGAGATAAATTGGTTCGGAGGAGGGGCTTAATTGGTTTATGTATCCTTTTGGCGGAAACGAGTAATCTAGGTCAGCTAGGTTCTAGGGTACCGTAGCCTAGCAACATTAAATCCTGCCTAAAGCTCCTTTTCAAAACTCAGAGTCGCATCGCATCAAATCAACATCTGATTTGCATTTGGAAATACTCTTTTCTTTAGGCTTTTCGGCAGATGCACGATTTGCTAAAAGAGCGGCGGCGGTGACAGGCTCTAATCTGCCATGATATATCACGTCTTCTGCCGACGAAATGAGACATTAAGGCACAGCTTGGCTTCTAATTGCTAGTAGATTGGCTTCTAGTTGCGAACAGGGATATATTATATTTCGGTCCCAGAATCAAAGAATTCAAAAGTTCATGAAGGGAGCATCTTGGGATATTTGATACTATTTGGAAGCAGAGGGAGGGGACCCCCTTCCTCTTCCTTACGCCAACAAAAATCACAGATGCTATAATTGGTCCTCTTAAGTGGATAATTGACTCTCTTTCTCTTTCTGGGGGTACACCAAAATTTGAGATGAGGCTAGTCTTAGTTTTCCGGAAAATGAAAGAGAGGAAAAGTTGAAGATGATCGATTTCGACGGGCGGGCAAAAGAGAACAAGGTGAAGAAATTTATGATGAATCGCTTGTAGGATTCTGGAGATGGAGATTACGGTCTGAGGATCACGAAACAGGTGGTGGCCAAGAAGTCGTTAAGTTAGGTCAACTTTTGGACAGGTGTCCTAAACTGATGATGTGACATTTTTGAAGTTAGGGTCTTAAGGAAGCTAGGAAGCTAGGAAGCTAGGAAGCTGAAAAACTAATTTTCCTAGAATCTAGACCTCAAACTTTTTAATCAAAAGCACACAAAAAATTTGATCTATCAGAATCAACTTTACAAAACTTTTTCCCCCAAGCTTATACAACCCCTCTCCACTGCCATAAAACTTTGAGCCAAACAGAGGTCGCTATGCATCGACGGCCGTAAATCACAAAAATGCCACATGAAACTTGTCAAACAGGTACAGCGAGCGGCGGGAGGGTGGGTCCCAAAAGTTGCAAAAAAAAGCCGGAAGAAAATAATGGACCGGAAATCTGTATCTTTCTAATTATGGATGGGCGGTGGGGTGTGAAAAAAAGAGCCGCCCATGGAAATAGATCATATCTGTCGTGGGAACAAGGAGTGGAGGTCGGATGGTGATGAAAAGGGAAGAGAGCAAGTCTACACGAAGAAAGACACGACAAAGAAGAAGAATTATGTATTCTGGAGACACAGGAAAAAGTGAAATTCACACCACACAGATACAAAGAACAAAGAAAATTAAAGGGACACTTTGAAGGTGGTGGTTTTGTAGAGAGAGAGACAAAGAACTCGAGAGAGAGGGAGTGAAAAATTGGGGTAGATCAAAAAATTGTAGAACTGCTTTTTCCATAAAATACTATGTAGAATTCTAAAATTTGAGATTTCCTAATCAAAAAGGCCGAGCCCTCGCAACCACCAAAAATCTATAGAAGACACTAAAGACCCTAGAAGGTCTTATCTAACGTAAATGCTCAAATAAAATCCCCTGCACCGTGAGCTTCATTATCTCGGTTCCTGTGAGAGATGTCAAAAATCTATCAACTGATAAAATGTTTGCTATATTATGATAAACAATTTATCAATTGGCAATTTTTTGATATCTCTCAAAGTAATCGAGATAACTGAGCTTTAAAAGCCCTCGTAAGCGGAGCTTCAAGTTCAGCTAGCTTCTAACTTCGAGCTCAATTATCTTGCTTCCTGTAAGAGATATCAAAAATCTGTCAACTGATAAAATATTAGTGACATTATGATAACCAATTTATCAATTGAAAAGGTTTTATATCTTTTGAAGGAACCGAGATAATTAGAGCTCAAACTGTAAGCATTCATGGTGTACTTGGCGAACAACTAGCTGTCATTTTAAGCTCATTATTAATGAATTGGTCTTCAATTACCTTCTCAGTCTAATGAACAACGAAACAGGTAAACGTTGGCTACCGTAACCCTGTGCCTATAATCTAGTTGAACCTTCAAAGATCATCATTCAACTCAGCTTTCAAAAAAAAGTTCAAACTCAAATTGCGGTAAAAATCACTGCGATCTATCTAAATCCTCCTCTAACAACATAAGCGCACCTCCGATAAGCTGTAAAATCAGATAAATCAAATAAATGAGCGATGTTGACAAGTGAGAAGGGGCCCCCGCCCCGGTGAGCAGAGTGTGTTGGTTGGGGACTCAAAAGGGGCGGAGTCTGCACACATACACTTTCTCGTTCTCGGCTTTGTGTCCCAGCCTACAAATAGTGAGAAGCGATATCAGCTACACAGATACTGTACAAATAGTATCACACTTACTTTTATATTAATTTGGGAGTTTCGGAACGAGAAAAAAAAACTTTTATGCAATATCAGTACTAGGGAAAAAAATGGGCGGCTCATTTCACTCCATCACATATACTCTATGCCCCCTGATTTTGATTGACATGTAGTTGAAAAGCAGATGGACGAGAATTTTGAGAGAGGACTGATAATCGATTTTTGGTTGGAAAACGGCGAAGAAGAAGAAGAAACCACACCAACTGCTCTTCTTATTACGTAAAAATCATAGGCAAAAGATGATGGATATGAGAAAGGCGGGGTAACAAGAAGAATAACAAAAATTTGATATTGTGTGATCTTTGTTTGATGAGGTAAGAGAATAAAAGACATCTGGTAGGAGATTAAAACGGCATGGTCCTAATAAAACAGTTGCGTAGCTAATGAACAGAAGTTGGGGATTAGGTATCTCAAAAAATGTGGGGAAGGAATACAGTATAAAATTAAATCTATATTTTTGATAAGGGTTAATAGCCGGCTATTCTTTCGTTCCGCTTTCTACCGTACCCAAAAAATGACCTTAAAATTCCTACCGTCACCTTTGAGCTTATTTATCTCGGTTCCTATGATAGATATCGGAAATTTGTCCACTGATGAAACGTTTTCGTAAAACAACTAAAATTTTATCAGTTGATTGTTTTTTGATATCTATTACAGTAACCGATATACATCGGCTTAAAGTTAAAAGTTAAGGGTTATCACCTAAACTCACTCTCAACTTTAAACCAATTTATCTCGGTTTCTGTGAAAGATATCAAAAAGTGATCAACTAGCAAACTGTTGGCTATGTTATGATAAACAATTTATCAGTTAAAAAATATTTGATACCTTTCACAGAAACCGAGATAAAGTTAGTCAAAGTTTGGAGGCACTTTATCTCAACATTTCAAAACTCTTTTTTCGAAACGTTAGAACACTGATCGAGCAAAAAATCAGGAGGTTCAGGCAAACTGTACTGTTTTCAGAAGTACAAAAAACACGGGTACAAAATGAGCAACCTTCAAAATGTTTAGTTTTTGGTTTTTGAAAATTGAAAAAAAAAACGGAAGCTGGTTCGAAATTTTAAGTTACTGAAAATGCTCAAGTAAGAGCTGCACTTTGAGATCAATTATCTTGGTTCCTATGAGAGATATCAAAATTTTATCAACTAATAAAATATTGGTGATAATATGATAAATAGTTTATCAGTTGAAATTTTTTTGATATCTTTTAAAAGAACCGAGATAAGTGAGTTAAAAGGGCAAAATCGAGTAAATACGGTAACCTCCAATAGAAAGGCCGCCTAACTTTGAGACAATTTCTCTCAGTTCCTATGAGAGATATCAAAATTTTGTCAACTGATAGAATATTGTTGATGTTATGATAAGTAATTTATAAGTTTACAAGTTTTTAATATCTTTGGAAGGAATCGAGATAATTGAGCTCAAATTTGACGGTTTAGGTTTGCATCTAAACGAGCATTTACGGTGGGTTCAGTCAAGTTCGAAATGAGCAAAAAACCGGCACAAAACTACTCAAGGTTCAAAAAAATAAGCTAAACTAATCGGAACTATGTTGGATATGAAAGAAAAGAACGTCATTTGAAAGATAAACATTCGGGGGACATGAAAAGTCAAACACCGCCCATCATCCCCGGAGTTGACCTTACAACCCCCATCATAAAACCGTAATGCGACTCGCCAGACGTTTTGTGGTGCGGGACGACGAGCTGCACCAACATTTTAGGGCTCTTTAGGTGGACAAAGTGTTCAATGTAATCCAAGAGAAAAGGCGTCGTCGTCATCTTTTTTGATTGACAAGTTTCATATAAAACTGAATCGTACACCCCCCTAGGATGAGCGCGAAAATGAAATCCTTCTCAATTTTTGATGGCTCTCCGGAAAACGGAAGATGGCACCACAATAAGAAAACGTCAAGGATATTGGGGAAGGGAGGGACGTGTCCCAAAAAGAGGAGACGTTTTAAGAAGGCAAGCCATGAGAGAGAGACACACAAGTTGAAACGAAAATTGAAATGTTTGATTGACAAGTCTTCCGGAATAGGCAGAGTAGATCTCGTTCTCGAATAGGAAGCTAGGCTGCATTGCTTGCTTCCTATTATTTTCCAACCAATAAAAGCACCGTAATCTTTTGGTTCGCAGAGAATGGGGGGGGGGGGGGCGCTGAGTTAGTGGAGGGTGAGAGGATAGAGCGAGGACAAGAAGGGCTTTTCTTATCTAAAATCTGGAGATTCTATTTACCAAGAAGTCTCTGGATAGTGCCCAAAAATACTTTCAAACCTACTTTAAATGCTCTAATGGAAACCCACCATATACGTCAACTTTGAACTCAATTATCTCGGTTGCCATAAACGATATCGAAAAGTGATCAACTGATAAAATATTTGTGATAATGTGATAAACATTTTATTAATTGACTCCTTTCTAGTATCATTCAAAAGAACCTAGATACTAACTCTCAAAGTGTATGTATAAGATGAGTTTCAAGCAGTAGTAGTACGTAAAAGCATAAACGTTGAGGTCAATTATCTCGGTTGCCATAAACGATATCAAAAAGTGATCAACTGATAAAATGTTGGTGAAATTACGATGAAAATTTTGTTAGTTGACTACTTTTTGGTATCGTTTATGGCAACTGAGATAAACAAGCTCAAAGTGCATGTATACGGTGTTCTAATTAAAGTCCATCTCATACATAAACTTTGAGCTCAATTATCTCGGTTGCCATAAACGATATCGAAAATTAATCAACTGATAAAATGTTGGTAATATTATGATAAACATTTCAATAGTTTACTACTTTTTGATATCTTTCAAAATAAGCGGGATAATTAAGCTTAAACTGACGTATACCTTGTGAGGTCGACATTAGGGTAGGTGTCCTTAACCGACGCTTACTGAAAATACGACACTTTTAAAGCTATGGGCTTTAGGAAGCTGAAAAGCTAAGAAGCTAGAAAACGAAAAATCTAGGAAACTAAAAAGCTAAGAAGCTAGGAAGCTAGGATGGGCTTCTAAGATAAAAGGCCTACAAAAAATCTACTGAGAAACCTCCGAAGAAAAAAAAGATGAGTATCAAAAAGAGAGGAACAGTATTACATCTTCCCTACTTTTTTCTGCCTACGATAATATCTGCTCCTCCTTTGCCTCGTTGCGTAATCAGCATAGTCCCATCCTCGCAACAGACCTCCCACCCTATTCTTATTACACTTCATAATCTTGGAACTCGTAAAAATAAAATAGAGATTAATGAGCTGTTAGCCTAGTTGAGAGAATTGCGATTTAATCAATAAACGAAATCAGGGAAAAATGAGGATAAGAAAATAGAAACAATGGGTGAGAACACGACTAGCAGATGAGTGTGAACCGAGTGGTCCCAACACATGACCCCAAAAAATAGGGCGGGAAATACAGATCCAGGTGTGAGCCGTCGTCACACTCGGATTCTCATGACCCGGTCAGTTGGATTGGGATGTAAAGAGAATAGTTTGCTCCTGGGAAGGTAACTGTCGGTTTTATTGTTTTCATTTGATGATGTAGCGAAGATTTATGGAATTAGATTTGGATTACTGTAGAGAGAACAATGCGGTGTTTTTGTGTGGAGGTTAATAAGATTAGTTTAGCTAGTTCGGATAGGTTTAAGAGGTAATATGGAATTGGGAATTAGGGAAAAATTAGAGGTTAGAAACCAGGATATTAGAATGATCCAGGATCTAAAAAATGTCATATTGGTTTTGATTTGGGACTTATTGTGCTTCATACCGTAAGCACGCTAATATAAGCCTACCCTTTACAAGTCCTTTGAGCTCAATTATCTCGGTTCCTGCCAGAGATATAAAAAAAAGTCGTCAACTAATAAAATGTTGGTGAAATTACCATAAACATTGTATTAATTGACCACTTTTTGATACTTGCATAAGAACCGAGATCAATTGACTCAAAGTTGGAAGTTAAGGGCTGGCGTTCTATTAGAACAATCCCGGCAATTTAGGATTTTGGGTGAAAGTTTGGATTTTTAGGTAAAGGGCACTGCAAAACGACCAATAAGGGTCTCAAGCTGATCCCCACAAACAGATAATATCTTCCCAAAAGCACACACATAATCCATCATTGTTGCCATGCGCGATTTACGGCTCGGATATGGCTATCTGATTGTTTCTACCAGCGGTATTTTTTATAAATCCATCATATTGGGTCAAAAATATGAACTGAACATCAAGGGTACTATGTGTTGAGGGCGCTCAAGTAAGGACAAGTTACTGTGAGTGCTTTAGGAGCCAACCCTATATGTTCAGTTTGAGCTCAATTTTCTCGATTTCTGTATTCAAAATTTATCGACTGATAAATTAGTTATCATAGTATCACCAATATTTTATCAGTGGACAAATTTTTGATGCCTTTCATAGGAGCCGAGATAATTGAGCTCAAAGTAGACGTATAGGAGCTATTAAAGCAAATATAGTATTCTCTGGACGGAGCCCTATCGGAGTTTCAGAACGACACAATAACTACGCAACTGATCGAGTATTTATGTTTTCTAGCTATTTCAGATTTTCAGACGCTCATCTTTAAATTTCAGAGTTCTCTATGCAGGATCCGGCGCTCAAGAACTCTATTCGATTCCCCTCACAATCGGATGCCCTGAACACCTCTAATAGAACTCCCTCCAAACTGTCAACTTTGAGTCCATATATCTCATTTCCGGCAAAATATATCAAAAAGTGCTAAATGGACAAAATGTTTGTGATATTATGATGAACAATTTTTCAGTTGACCAGCTTTTGATATCTTTTGCAGAAACCGAGATAAATTGGCTAAAAGTTGAAAGTCAGAAAGGTCAGGTTTTACTGTATTTTTAGGTAATTTTTGAATTCCATTTGGTCTTTATAAAATTGTCATTCAGAAAAAAACTCCATGTAACTTGTTTCCCCAACACAGATTATCATCGGATTAGAACAAATGATGTGTAGTGCCGAAAAGAGACTGTATGATCTGATATGCACACCAAACGGGAAGTGCCTTTCTTCCACCTCATCATCATCTTCCTCTTCTTCTCCCCAATTATGCAATCAAAAACCTGTCGTTTGTTTGGAAAGAGATGAGAAGGACCATCGACCTTCTTTTTCGGACCTTTTGATGTGTCGGGGATATATACCCCTCTACCTGTTGTTCAATTATTTACCCAAAATCTCTGTTTTTTATTGTTTCGCCAACACTCTATGGCTATTATCCCTGGCATAATCCCTCGACCGTGAAATTGGATGCGCGAAAACAATTTAAAAAAATCATATTTATAGAAATATAAACATCAAGAATCATGTCAGAATCTAAAAAGTGAATTTCTAGAAAATTAGAAATTAATGAAGTCTCAATCCAGATCTTGGGGTGGCGGTGTCCACGTCGTCGTGTGGGAACAATGGATGTCCGACGGCGCTGAAAACGTCATTTATCTCATTTATCTCATATTCTGTGAAAGATATCAAAAATGTGTCAACTGGTAAAATGTTTGTGATATTATGATGAACAATTTATCAGTTGACAGATTGTCTAAATCTTTTATAGGAACCGAGATAAATTGGCTCAAAGTTGGAGAGCCCTTCTATTGCAGGTAGATTCTGAAACTCACAAATCGAAGAGGAAAAGCCTGGTTCTAGTGGGTACGGTATCCAATGCATGCATATCCTCATCGCTCAAATGGAAGTCAAAAGTCGAAATGTTCTCCACAATTCTATCCGGACTGATGCTCTTCGGAATAGCGGAGATACCATGCTGAGTCAGGTGGCGAATCAGAATTTGCGCAGCAGTTTTGTGATACTTGGCTGCCAGTTGTTGGACGACAGGCTCCAGAAGTGGGTCACCCTCTGGCCACACACCGTCCGGACGAGCAGCTTTTCTGCCTGGAGAGCCAAGTGGCGCGTACGCAGTAAACGTTACGCCGAGTTTTTTGCACAGAGCACGCAGGGATTCTTGGGGCCAGTAGATGTGGCACTCGACTTGGATGTTTGAGGGCTTCACTGTTGCCTGGTCGTAGAGTTCTTGGAGTTGTTTCGCACTGAAGTTTGATACTCCGAGAGCCTGCAATTTTAGATGTACAGTACCGGGTTTCTGGTCATTTTCAGGAGTCTAGAGGTCGGCTGTCAAGTGTCGGATCACTTTGAAAGTTACGAAGAATGTAAAACAGACCTAGATTGAAAACATTGCATTCACAGAATTTTTTTGAAAATCCCTAGTTTTTAGTTATTTCCTAGTTTATAAGACTATAAGATTACTAATACTGTGAGTGGAGGCCAGGAGGTTTAGTCCCGAGGTGGTCTTATTTTCTGAAGGACACCTGTTTTTTTTCTTTTTTTTCAGTACAAAATCGGGCCGAGAAGGCGTTTGTTTTAGAAATTGGCAAAGAGCTGGAATTTCTTAGATTAGCCTCCTGAAAAATAGTCCAAAATGGTCGAAAATCAACTAGAAAATACGTTAGTGTATGTCTTATTGACTGGTACTGTACTACAAACCTTGAATGTTAATTTTACTTACTCTGAGCTTCTTTGCATTGTAAAGCTTCTCGAGCTCCTTCCAGGTGTCCATATGGGAGGTCACATCATCGAAAACCAACTTTCCATCTTGCAAAAGCGGCAACAAACTACCGTCTTGGTGCTTGAATGGGCATGGGCAATGGATGAGGTACAGATCAATATAGTCCAATTGCAACGCCTTCAATTGGCTGTCCACACAGTCGGCCACGTCTTCTGGAGCATGTGCAACGAATGGGAGTTTCGAGGTGATGAAAAGCTCTTCACGCTTGATTTTTCCAGACGAGATGTACTCATGGAGGACGTTTCCAATGATGTGCTCATTTTGGTAAAGATGCGCGGTGTCTGGAAGATATGGTTTTATTGTTTTGGGTTTTTTTTAATAGGGTTGAATTCCAAATTACCGATAAGTCTGTATCCAGCATCAAGAGCGGCTCGAAGAGCCACAGTCAACTCGGTCTCATCTTTGACTTGCCAGGTTCCCAGGCCAAATAGTGGAAGCTGGGCTCCAGTGTTCAGAGGCACAAATCCTACTGTCATTTCTTCTGAAAAAAATAACGGTGCTGATTAGAAAAATGCTAAAACGACTGAATTCAGCAGCCACGTTAAGTAAGCCAATTTTCAGAGAGACGGTGACAATGATAAGAACTGATAATATTTGTGACCAAACAGAGAGAAAACGAGACGAGAGACCAACAAATATTTTCTGGTCAGTCACAAAAAAAATGAATAAATGGGGAGAAGATGAAAAGATCGTTTTAGCATGACAATAGACAGTCTCTTTTCCGGAATTCCGAAATTTCAGACCATCTCTTTTATAAACGGCATGACTGTGTATGTTTGTTGTTTTTTATTGAACAAAATGCGGAATACGTGACACACTAAAAATTAAAAAAAATACAGAGAATAGGAGAAACAGACACAACAGTGTTCATGTGATGATGAAACAGAAGGGGAAGCGAAAAAAAGAGAAGCAGATAAGAGAAAAACTGTTGTTGTCAAATGACTGTTGGAAAAGTTCAGAAAGCATAATAGGGCGACGAGACAAGAGATCAATCTAGGACCAATCATCTTTTGTCCATGGAAATCAATAGGTTCAAATCTGGATGAAAGTTATATTGAAGCAGATGCTGGAAAATATTTCGGGAACTCCACATTTTAATAGAAATTTGTTGAAACTCTATTTTTCGATAAAACTCTTGCTATATTTTGTGGAAATTGGCAAATTTTCATGAATTTTGAAAGAAACTTCGTCGAATTTCCGATGCAAAATTTCGGAAAAAACTGGCCGGAAAAATAGAAGGGCCGGTCTAATTGAAGGACCCCTGTAATAGAAGGGCCCTCCGGAGGTACCTTGGAACAATAGAAGGGCAGGCCCTTCTAATACAGGTTTTACGGTACATAAACATTCGGAGGGGTATATAAACATTTGAAAAATATCCAGAATCTTTTGATTTCGAATTTTTTCTAGAGTCATTTTGATCATTCATGAATCTAATATTTCCACTTGTTTTCAAATTCTCTGGATTTTTACAGGCACTATATGTACCGTAGTTGATGACCTAGAAAACTGAAACGTCGGATTTCTGGGTCACCGAATTGACACTTTCGTCACTTCACTGTTTCTGAAAGCTCTTATACAGCTCTCTAATGACGAATGACCTAATTCCAAAATTTGGGTTTCTCGGCCACCAATGAGAAAATATTTCAACTCTGAAAAGTGGTTCAGAAACTTCTATTCTAGCTCTATCAGTTGGGTGCCCAGAAACTAAAAATTTTGGATTTCTGGGTCATCAATTTAGAATGGTTATTAGCAGTGTTGAGCGGAAATACAATTTCGATTCACGGAAGACGGAAGACGGAAACGGAACGAAATTTTTGCTTCACCTAAGAAGGAAATCCACGGAAGACGGAAAATCTAAGAATTAAACCTTTTTTATAGAGAGACATACTTTATTTCAAATACATACCATACATACCGTACCCCACCCAAGTCGTGCACTCTCATAGAATCCCGCCCTATACCTTCACTTTAAGCTCAGTTATCTCGGTTCCTATGTGAGATATCAAAATAATTTAAACTGGTAGAATATTGCTGATGTTATGATAAATAACTTATCAGTTGAAGACTTTGCGATATCTTGTAAAGGAACCGAGTTAATTGAGCTCAACGTTCACTCATTAGGTAAGCTTCTATTAGAGTTCAAACAACTTTTTTTAGAGGATAAACGTTTTTAAAAAAAAAAAAAAAAACCAACCCTGGGTACATAGAATTAGCTGCAAAGGCCTTAATACAACGAATCGGGGCCTGGCGAAATACGTATTCGACTAGTTCTCCTCGTGGTATAATTCAAAATTCCAGGCTGGCTTCTTATCTGGCCATAATACAAAAGAAAGATTGTAATATGTTCAAGAAGCCTTTATGAAATTCTATGGGCATGACCCAATGGAGATGAACGTCGTCATTGCTCAGTATAAGGTTTTTTTTAAATATGCTATCCCGACATAAACCAATTATGTCTTCAGGAAACACATCCAGCGTTCATCAGAGACTCTTGGATTGGTATTGGTCTCCTATCAATTGTCTCTTTTACATCGTTAGCGATGATTGTGTGTTTTGGATGTCTTATAGTTTTGGAATTCAAAAAACAATCAAGTTTTATGAGTGCCACCACAAAGCGACAACAAACTCAACTTATTAAAGCACTGGTAGTTCAAACTATAATTCCAACTTTGGCTAGTTTTTCTCCATGTTCCTTTTCTTGGTATCAGCCATTATTTGGGATTGATGGGTGGAAGTAAGAGAAGAAATCGAGTCTTGTTTTTCAAAATAATTTTTCAGATGGTTGCAATCCACAAATTCCATTGTGATGTCCATATTTCCTGTGCTAGATCCGGTGTCTACAATTTTGGTACTACCGGCTTTCAGGAGGTTGAAGAGTTTGTCATTGTACCTTGTTGGAACCAACAAGGACTCCTCAGCTGTCACAGTTCATACTGCGAGTTGTTTGTAATACACATATACTAATTTGAGTTCAAGAATTCAAAGAGTTCATTGAAAGACAAGATATGACTCGTCAACGAGAAATATACAGAAAAAATGCCAAAAAAACAGTAAGAGAATAATAAATCATCTAAAACAATCTAAGCCTTAGCAGCCTTCTTAAGATGGAACTTTCTGTATCCGGAGGCAGAGGTCTCAACAACTTGCTCAGTGGTGGCTGGCTGTTGGGCTCCGTACTCGGCGGCTGGCTGAGCTGGTGCTGGAGCGGACTCGAAGGTCTGTTGAACGGTCTCTTGAGTCTGGGCTGGAGCTTGCTCTCCGTAGCTGGCGACTGGAGCTGGCTGAGCTGGTGCTTGCTCTCCGTACGAGGCAACTGGAGCTGGTTGAGCGACTGAGGCTTGCTCTCCGTAGCTGGCAGCTGGAGCTGGCTGTTGTGGGGCCTGTTGTTGGTAACCTTGTTGTCCCTCGGAGACAACGGCTTGGGCTTGTTGTTGGTATCCTCCGGCGGCTGGGGCTGGCCCTTGGTATCCGGCTCCTCCTCCGACGGATCCTCCTTGTTGGTATCCTCCGGCAGCTGGGGCTGGTCCTCCTTGGTATCCTCCTTGTCCTCCTCCGACAGCTGGTCCTTGTTGGTATCCTCCGGCTCCTCCTCCGATTGGTCCTTGTTGAGCTCCGGCGTATCCTCCTTGTTGGGCTCCACCGAATCCTCCTTGTCCGGCTCCGGCGTATCCTCCTTGTTGGGCTCCTCCGAATCCTCCTTGTCCGGCTCCGGCGTATCCTCCTTGTTGGGCTCCTCCGAATCCTCCTTGTCCGGCTCCGGCGTACGAGCCTCCTCCTCCGATAGCTGGGGCTTGGTAGGCTCCACCGGCTCCTCCGTATCCTCCGGCTCCTCCGAATCCTCCGGCTTGAGCGTATCCTCCTGCTGGTGGTGGTGGTGGTGCGGCGTAGGCGGCTGGGGCGACCGCGTAACCAGCTGAAGCTGGTGGTGGTGGTGGTGGAGCTCCACCTCCGCATCCTCCTCCACATGGTGGTGGTGGTGGGGCACAGCAGCCACCGCCGCCACCTCCGCCGAGAAGCGAGAAGAGGAAGGCGTTAGTGCATCCGAAGAGAGCAACGAAGACGAGATACTTCATTCTGGAAGAATTGTAATGTTTTTTGGGATAGAATTTTAGTTTAAATGACTCGAGAAAGGAGCTAACAGCTATAGAAAAAATAAATTTAAAAAATAAAACATCCTCTGGACAGAAGGGGTAGCCCAAACAAAAGAGTAGATCAAAAACGGGGAGAAGCCAAGCCAATTGAATCGAATAAAGTCACCCGAACCAATCGGCTTTATATATGGTGCCAATGGATCATCAAACCTTGCGTAACGCTTCTTCGACGAGACAGTGTGTAAGACGAAGAGACGCGCAAGCTCCGCCCACTAGACTTTAGCTTTTCCCTTTTCCTTACCTGGGCGGGCCGCTTCCTCGGATAAGATAACCAACCGTTTACCGGTTTTTTTCGCGGCCACTGCTGTGTGTGTGTACTTGGTAATTGTTCATCTAGCTTCTTCTTTCATTGGGGTTGGGAAAATTACTCGAGAAAGGAAAAAGAAAGATTTTTTTATGTCAAGTGTACAACGGCATACACTTTTAATTGTCTCATTTGAGATGCAAATATTGTAACGGGTGTGGAATCAAAAAGAGGAGAAAGAAGGTGTGAAAGTGATGGGCGATGGGTCTATCGTCTGAAGTTTATTTTTCGTGTTTCAAGTAGGAAATTTGAAGAAGCGTCTAGAAAACTATATAGCTTAAAATTATAAAATGTTGATTTTAGTTTCAGGTACATGAGATTTCCAGATTCATAGAGTTGGGTCATCCATCCGTTACTCGCTGTCCTGTAGCCGCCAATCGAATGACACATTTCATTTGAAGAAGTTGAAGAATGACTGATCATCATATTACGCAATTGAACCACTTAACCCGTCACTCATCCACCAAGAAATATAATCTTTGGCAAACTTTGAATGAATGACCACTGGAATTTCCGGTATGGTAGCCAAACTGTATTTTCTGTAGTAGACGTCCGTGATGGGAGGAATTTCCGTTTCCGTTTCCGTTTTCCGTATTTCGGAAAAATGCGTTTCCTCCCATCACTGGTATACGTGCACTAAATAAGTCTACCTGAAGCGTAATTACAAAACACCTTTGAAGCCGTGCCGCTACGAGAGGAGCTACGCGATTCTACTTTGAGCTCAATTATCTCAATTTCTGTAAGAGATAGCAAAAATCTTCTAACTGATAAAATGTTTATCATGATATCAGTAACATTATATCAATTGACACATATTCGACATCTTTGACAGGCAATGAGATATGTGGGCTCAAAGTTATGGGTCGGTCAGCTATGTCGGCTGGCTGTCGGCTGGGTTGGCGGTCGGTCTGTTGGCTAAATTTCCCATGGAAGCCTCATTCTAAAAAAGCTATAATGCACATTTCGATTAATGAAATGTTTAAATTAATGTTTTTAATATTCTTTCAATTAAAATGTTTTAATAATTTTCCCAGGAACCGAATTACCGTAACCCCCAAGACTCAATTGATAAAAAACCTTCAATTTTGACCGAATTTATCTCGGTTCCTAGAAGAGGTATCAAGAAACTTTTCATTAACAAAATGTTGTTGGTATTATGATAAATATTTTATCAATTGACAACTTTCTGATATCTTTCTCAAGTACCGAGATAAATTGGCTCAAAGCTAGGGGCACTCAAATTAGCTCCATCAGAAGCCCTCCCCATTCGGGCTTTTTGAGCTCAACTATCTCCGTTCCTATAGAAGATATCAAAATTTTGTCAACTGATAAATGTTGCTGATATTATGATAAAAGTTTTATTACTTGACAACTTTTTGATTCCTTATACAGGAAATGATATATTTGTGCTCAAAAACAAAGACAATTTTATGAGACGGTTTACGGTAAATTTTTCGGCATTGCCTCTAAATGTGATATTATCATGATCTCGTTCCATGCAACTTTCATCGC